AAAAAAAAAAAAAAAAGATTTGGGAAGTGAGGTTTCAGAGATAGGAAAAAGTATTTGAGTTTATCCAGGAAGGTAACACTGATGGCCAGGCAAGTACAGCAGGGATATGGCACCGCAGAGGCAAGCCTTGGAGCAAAGGAAGGCAGGGGTGTGATCCTGAAAAGTAGGTTAGCCTGGGAAGCTACAGGAAGCAGCAGAGTCAACGGAAGAATTTTCCCTCTCCCCAAGAGGTGGGGGGTGGGGGACAGGGGATGTTTTAAAGAAAAGAGGGGGAGCCAGGCAACAGATAGAAGTTGCCCTAGAGGCTGTGGTTGACTTGATGGGTGTGAGGCCCAGGCAAGCTCATACCTGCAGTTCTTAATCTTTTCATCCTCAAGGACCTAGTAAATTACTGAGCTCCAAAAGGAGGGAAGAAGGCCAGAGGCTTCACAACCAGAGGTTAAACTTGAACCACTCACTGAGGTGTGAGCCAAGAAGTTAATGCGGTAGGAAGAGCAACACTGTCGAGTGTTGTAAGACAAACCCAGGTTATTACTTCAGTCCTCGAGGTTCCAATTAACTTCCCATCAAGAGGCGCCGGGGCTCGGCTTCTCGCCCCGTGCCAGCCACCATGCCAACGTCTGCGGCGGCACTCAAGGGAAATTCGGCTGGAGAGTGGATCTCCATCGCCTCGATGAAGGCAGAGAGGAAAAGCCACTCACGGTGGATACCCACCTCGCTTTGCCAGGCCTCAAGGAGAAAACCGGGGGAAGCACAGAATATAAGTAAAACCCCAACACCTTTCTTTTCCTTTCCCTGACCATCACTCGTAGACCCTCCTCACTAGAATGTAAGCTCCTTGAGAGCAGGACTTGGTCCCTCACTGCTGGATGCGAGCCTGCAGGGAGCCTGGAACGCGGTGGATGCTCAGTGGAATACTGAATGGACTCGGCTCAGTCCCTCTTCGTATCTGGGCGCTGGAGGGTGCCACCACTGGAGCCCAGGGAGGGCTGAGCTGGGAGAATCAGAAGACTTCTCTGAAGGTCCCGGTGGGGCTGCCTGCGGGCCCGAGCGGAGGGCTCTGAGCGCGGTCGGGGAGGGGAGTCGGGTCTAAAGGCCCACGACTGCACCGTTTGCAACTGACCTTCCGGCGGGGACGCCCGCGCGGGGCGCAGCAGCCCGGCTCCGGCGTCCCGCTGCCGCCGCCCTCCGGAGGCGCTCGGCGCCCGCTGCGCACGTAGGTCACCTGCCTCCTGCTGGCGCC